CCAGTTAAAACGATTCAGAGGTTTGTAGAGTTGATTATATTTTTGTACCAAATAATATTTAGTTCCGTAATGAGAAAAATAATACTTGAAAAACAAATAAAATCGTGAATCCACGAATTTGATTTGTTGAAAATCGTTAAGTCTTCGATCATTGAGTTTGAATTTGGAGGATTTGGTTATATCATTAGGAATCAAAAATAAGAATATCAAATATAATATATCATCTATTATCACATCGTTAAATTTCAATTGATTTTTATTTGTTTTTTGGTAAGGTGAAAAAGTTTCTTCTTTGTGCATTTTTGACAAGGCATCCTGTTAAATTACAAAGATAAGTTTCTGTTCGGTATAAATACTGAACAGAAGAATAAATAATTACAATAAAAGATATGTTCTTTTGTGAATATTATATTGTTGTGTTTTAAAGTTTCAGTTAGTATTATCATTTCTATCTTCTTGTTAATATCAATTATTAATTTGTAAACATTGGATGAATATTTTAAACGATTACATTTTTCTACCATTATTAAAAATTTGTTGAATTTCTCTACATCGAAATTATTTTGTGATAGGTAATTTATTATAACAGATGATCTTTGTTCTTTTGTATAAAGTTTTGTTATTTCAACATAATCTAGTATTTTAATAAGATTACTCTCAAATAATTTATAAAACATTGTCAAAACAAAATAAAGAAATAGGCCCTTACCATTTATATATCATTAAGGTTGTACAAATTTTAATTTAGTTTGCTTCATTTGTTTCCTCTTAGAATTACTGAATCATTTTTTCTCTTTTTAGTCATTGAATTTGTAGTAAAAAAATCTGTTATTCTTTGTTGTTTTTTAGATTTATCTAGATTAAATATGTTCTCGATTTTCTTTAAAGCTTGTTTCTCTTTGCAACCTAATAGATATGCTACGATATCACGTAAACTACTGAAATAGTAAATAATATCAATAGTATTCTTCTTGGGATCAAAATATTCAACCAGAATCATTTTGTCTGAAATTAAGTTATTTTGTTTTGTTTCGATATAATAAAAAAAACGACCTGGTTCAATCGTACCATTTAATCTCACAACAAATTTTAATACTATTGTATTTTCGTTTTTCTTTGTTGATTTTGATATTTGTTGGAGTATAGATTCGGAATTTTTTTTATCAAAAATTTTTATATAGTCTATCGTGGAAATAAAAGCATAAGTAGAATCGTATTTTGCTGTAAGCACAAATAAATCCAACATTGTTTCTTTCTTTTTCACATAGTCTGTAATTATTTGTTTGACTAATTCTTTTTGATCTATCTCCTCAGTTCTAATCGAGAAGTCCTTATTAAATCCAAGTGATGAATATATCAACTCTTTATTAACAATCTTGTAAAACTCTGATACATTTTGCTTAACTAATTTCAAACCTCTCAAAAATAATTTTAAATTATCAAGATCAGGTTCGTAAGAGTGTTCTATTCCAACATAATGTTTTTTACCAAAAATCAGAAAGGGGTATAAAGTTTTCTCATATGCCATTTTAAGATATGTGGATTTCATTATTCTTTGTAAATATTCGTTGATTTTTGTTTCTAGGATTTGGGAATGTTGGATCGTTACCTTAATCTGTTCTTCCCAATATTTTTTTTAGTTAACAAGCTATTAGAATATTTTGAGTCCAACTTGATGAAATAAGATTCTGGTAACGAATAGAATATCGAATCTGTATTACTATAAACAACAATGAAACCTTGCTCTCGCACAAAATTGATTTTTGTCATAGTGTCGCTCGGCAAAATGCTATAATAGATGACATGACTTCCTCTCGGTATAAAGGTAAAAATCGATACCTTGTTTCTCCATAAATAGAATTTGCGAATATTTTTAATGCTTCAGACATGATATAAAATAACGAAGTTTTGTGTTGTCAAATTGATACAATTTGATTTTGTTTTTGGCTTCTCCTCTTTTTTCTAATAATTCTTTACACATCAAAGGCATAATCTCCATCTTTTCAATAACACTATCATGCGGAACAAATTTACTATATACAATATCATTATCGATTATAACATTTAACGATGAATCTGTCGATTCTTTTGATATACATGTTTCTAATGAGATGTTGTTCTGAACGATAGAGTTGGGATAATACGATGTGAAATTAACATCTGCCACAGGTCTTTTGATGTTTTTGTTAGGAGGAATAACTAAAGCTCCTGTGTATTTTCCTTGGTTGACCGTTCCTTTACGACGAGAAGATACTAATATTTTTTTCGATGCTACATATCTACAAACTAAATTTCGTATCAAACAACTGACTCTATTGGTGAAAACATTTGAGATAGTTATATATGATATGGTTGCTCGTTAAATATAATCTTCTATTATATTTCTTTTAATATTTAATTCGTGTAATCGTAAAGTATCAACCGAATAATAATACGCTAACTCAACCAAATCTAGAATATGAAACGCTGATAGACAAAAGGAAATAGGAATGTTGATCATTTTTGATAGTTGTTTGGATAATCTATCCAGTATTTGTTTGTTATTTTTAAACCTTATTGCATTTGTATAAACAAACATGTAACGTAAATCAGTAGAATTTTTAGTGGGAACATATGGTAGATCGATTTTCCCAGAAAGGCCACAACATTTTAATACCGCATCGAGTATATTGGTTATCTCTGTTTGAAATGTTTTCTTGGCCCAAACAAGAAAATCAAGAAATACCGTTCCTGAAGCTCTCATAAATTCACATTGTATATTCTCGATTGGAGATACCTTTATGTTTCGATTAAACATATTGATACCGGCAAATTCGTATTTCAAATTTTCTTTTGATATATCTCTGTCAACAACTCTAACAGTTACCTGGTTTACTTAAAACTACATATCTATTTTTGTCTTAGTCAATATTCTGGTAAACTCATCATCGATCTGTAGAAATTTAACTTTCTTAAGTATAAAATTCTAATCAAATTGACCTGTGTTATATCCTATCTCAAAATCCGGTTTAAAATTATCAAATAATTTAGCGAATTTTAATAAGAGTTTTTCTTGAGATTCTAGCTCTACGAATATTATCAATGTTTTAGGATATTTCTGATCAAATAGTTCACTATTAATGGGTATGGTTGATAAACAAAATCGTTGAATAGGAAACGTTTGATTATAAAAAACAATATCGAATTAAATCATGTAAACACAATTTTCTTCTTTCTCAGCTAAAGAAAAATATCCCAGACCACAACTCGATGAAGTTTCGATATCCCAATATAGTAACAAAAGCTTAGGTATCTTGTAATAATCAAGCTTTTTTAAATCGTTTAAAGTAATCAGCATATTATCGTAAATATTTTCATTAGTAACTTCGTATCATCCCACTAACTCAAAATTGTTTTCACTCACGAATTTTCTATAGTAATATGTCTTATTATCCGAATATGTGTCATAGTATTGATCGAATTCCTCTATATCTTTGAATCGAAAATTTTCAGAATTCGGAATAAAGTTGTCATGTTTTATCATGAGTTTTTGTAAAGCTTCTTTATGTTTTCGTTGATTACGAAAATACAAACATAAAAAAATATATTTTTCTGTCGAATCTAACGGCTACCGTTCGATTCTTTCATAACTATCTGGTTCAAACTCGTTAATGTAATTCGAAAAATTGATTTTGGGATAAAATTTAATATCAAAAAAAACTGAATCAACAAGAATATTGATCATGAATTTTGTTCCATCTTCTCGAATTGTCACCAAAGATAACATATATTTTTTATCAGGTTGGGATGTAGAATCAATAGCATCGTATACGTAAAATCAATTTGATTCGATCGAATCTATTAATTTTGAATGGCAATATAACAGTTCGTTTGATGAAGAATTCATTTTTTATATAGTTAAAAATCCAACCGGTTATCACTAGTTGAATAATTTATAACAAATAATATATAAAAATAAAAATAATACTATAAAAGAGTAGCAAAGAAATTCTCGTAGATCTTGTCACAATTCTCGTGACATGGTAATGATTTTTTGCAATCATCGCAAAGATTAACCATATTTTCAAATTTTAAATTCCCGGGATATAACGAATCATTATTTACAATATAATGAGTGTTAAGCGTTTCCAAATACTCTTTATCGACCAATTCACCTAAACGAGCTCTCTTTCGCTATTATTCAATAGACGTTTCTATCAGAGCAGTCATATAAACAACTTTATGAAAATTAAGTAGTTCGATTGAATCAACTTTTCGATCGATATATTCTTTCTCTCTCATATCCATCTGAGTACGATCGAGAATAATATAATCAGCATTCGATAGAAACTATAAAAAACTAAAATTGTTCTTTTTAATTTTGTAAATTTGTTATTTAAAGTGATACAACAAAACATATTGGAAAAAAAGAAAATTCTTTTGCTTGTCTTTATTGAATATATGAAATTCTTCAGGAACTTGTAATGAAATTTCTTTGTAACAATTTACGGTAAATCCTTTTCTTTTCAAAAAAGATTCGAATAATTTGGCACAAGTAGTTTTGCCAACACTAATAGTTCCCGTAAATACAATTATCTTTGTTTTCTTCGTTGTCTTCATTAAAATGAAAAAGATAAATGAAAATAATAAATATAAAAAAATAGTTTGATGCATTTTTAAACGAAAATAAATTTATTATTAGATTAAAGGAAATACTCTAGAAAAAATCTGTTCGGTATTAAACTGAACAGATACTAATAAGGGTAATTTTATGTATATTTTTATTTTTACGAATGATAATTTTACCTACAGAAACATTTTTTTCAACTAATTTAATTAAATCAAAACTATCTGCTATATAATTTATCAATTCAATATGATCATCATTGTCATTTTCAAAAAAATTCTTGATGATTTCAACAAACTCTTTTTCATTACAGATTTTGATATTCTTTTTGGACGTAAACGCCCAATTTTTGGCTTTAGAAGTAGCAAAATTTTCATTTAATTTTTCACTATTGTATACAATAAGTCCAAGAGAATCTGATGAAAATCTTGAAAGTGCCGACTCAAAAACTCTTACAATATGAACATTTACAGGAGTTTCTACATTCTTATATTGTATAAGAATAAGTTTTTCTTTATAGGTCACAATAATATCGATACTATTATTGCCTTGAGTTACTTTTATTTCAGATGCTAATAATCCATTTGTTTCAGCTATCTTTCGTACAATATTTTCAAAATTATGTCCCGATTTGTAATTCGATATCTAAATAAAAAACTATTGAGTATGAAAATTCTCTTCATCAATATTTGCAGTACTGATATCTCAAAGATATAACTTTGATTCCGATATCAGTTTCTCAAGAAATAATAAAATATATTCTCATCATAGCATAGTATTCAGAATATAATCCTATAACTCTATGACAGCGTAATTCGAATTTACAAAATACAAAGTAAGATGAAACGTCCAACTTACTTTTTTTTCTTTTTCTATTTGGAATTATGTAATTAAAAGTCTAACCTGTCGTAGACTAGTTAGAAGATTGATTTATTTATAAACTTGTAAATATATTGATAAAAAAAAATAAAACAAAAACTAAATTTCTAAGATGCCTTCCTTGATAATCTCAAGAACAATATTTGGTGAAGGAGAAGATGCCACAGATTCTTCGATCTTATGTTTTTTAGTATAATAACGTAACTTGAATTTGTTTAAAATTGAGTCGATAATAATATTTTCTTTGAGACGTAAAGAATTGGTGACTTTCATATTCTTGAATTGAGTAAAGGTGTATTTTTCCCATAGACCATTGTTATTTGATTCTGTTTGTACAGGAATCTTATCAATAATACTAAAGTAAATTGCTGTTTTAAATAAACATTCACCCTTATTGGGAAAATACCGGATTCCTTCATCAAATGTGATAAAATCTTATTTTTCTAAAGTTATATTGGTCACTTCTAAAACTTCGCGTTTAACACAAGTATCAAATGATTCTCCAAGATTAATCGAACCACCTGCCACCTGATAATGACCAAAAAAATCTTTGTTTGAATTGTTTCTTAGACTCATCCAGATTTCTTTCTTAGGAGTAACAAGAATACATAATGAAAAATAAAGACGTTGAGTCTCAAATTTATCAATAATTGATTTCTGAATTTGCTTCAAATTAACATTTGCCCCAAGTCTTATTTTAATTTCATTAATCATTGAAGTTTTACAACTGAAAGTAACTCCATTCTCAAATATAGATTTGATAGCATTTGACCAAGAAAGAAATTGCGCCTCTTCCTGTTGTAACAAAGAATAAGTCTCTTTTGCAGCGTGATATTCTGTCATGATTTGATAATAAGAAATGAATTTTACGCAGAAAAAATTTTAATCGGTATAAAAACTAATTAAAGAGAATTACATATACGTGATGATGATGAATCATCTATCGTCAATTCATTATCACTAAAATAAAGTTAATTATCTAACAACAAAGTACTGTTTTGATTCCGTATATACTTGAATCTATCACGTATTACAAATTCATTTGCATCAGATTCATAATATATTTGATCGCTACCGTAAGAACTCTTTGGGGAGGAATCTGATAATATTTCATCAAAATCCTTTGGGTCCATCAACAAATTTGCACATTTATCACATCTTTTTTGAACTCAAAAATCCTCATATTTTTCACAATAATAAGGAATATCTGCTCGTTTCTTCTCACATTGTTTTTTTTGTGAAAATAATTACATTGTTCACAAAAATATTTGGTTATAGGTTTTTTTTTTTGATTAATAGTTGTTCATAATTAGGTTTTAGTAAATTCCATATTCGTCTACTCTGTCTAACAGATATCTCAACACCATTATATTTTATTGTTTCGGTATAGTAATTTGGAGCCATCACATACTTAAAAATCTATTCGGTAAATACTGAACAGAATAACAATGTATAAAATAAAAAAAATAAAATAAAATAACTAAATATATAAATTATTTTCCTCTATGTTTCTTCTTTTTTTTTCTTCTTCTTTACTTTCTTTTTCAAGTTGTTTATGTCTTTTTTTAAGTTCAGTTAAATGTTTGAAGTACGCATCGATAACATAATCACGTTCTTGTCTCATTCCATACATTGGACTACGTAAAATCTTTTCTTTAAAATTAGTGGCTTTATTAAAATTAGAATTATTTCTATTACGCACCAACTTGGAATTAGCTTCGATCCTATTCATCTCTTCAAATCGAATCTTATAAAATTCCCTAAGTTTCAAAAGAAAAATCGATCATTCGGTATTATCGTTTAAACATATTTTTTCTAAACATTTTTCGAACACGTATTTTGAAAGAGAAGTAGTTGTGTCAAAAAACAAATCAGGATCATAGGATTTAAGTTCCTGAATATCGATTTGGTTAATATCAGATTGAGACATTTTGATATTGAAAAGTAAATCAAGATTGTAAAAATTAGGATAAGAATCAATTTTTTTTAAAAAAATTCATAGGAATTATATGAATAAATTTCTAGTTGGTCTATAGACTAACTAGAAGTACATAGATAAAAATTTAAAAAATTTAAAATAATTTATAAAATATAAAACTACAATGATAATAATTGTTCTATAATAACGTTGATAAGTGATTCCAAGAATTTTTTTGAATACATGTACCAAGATTTTATCAATAACTTGGGATAAATTTAAATTTGAAGTATCAATCTCGTAAGAAACATCATATGCTTGTTTTAAAAATGACTCATCGTATTTGGAAATATTATTGTAGATTTCCGTAAAAAGTAAGTTAGTAAAAAGGTCTTTTTCCTTGAAATTGATTTGGTAAAAATGATACTTCACGCGAGTAAATAAATCGGCAGTAAACATTTTGTTGTGATATCTTTACCGACAACAACAAACCCTTTATTTCTAACAATCAATCTAATTTTTTCGTTTACCAAATCAAGTAAATTTTCATCTGGATCAAAATTATTTCATTGAAAATCGTCGTCTCTAAAAAATTCAACCTTGTCTAATAATAAGTCATCTTCAAAAGCTTGTCTGATTTCTTCAATCAAAGAATAGTTATAATTGTGATTGATGTATTTATAAAATAACTCAGAATCAATAAAGCGATAACCATATTGACTCACAATTCTTTCTCCAACTGTTGTTTTTCTAGTTGCTGTATAGCCATCGATCGCAATATTAATTAATGATCTTGTGTTTACATTTCAGAATAAACTATAAAGAATTTCTATTTCTGGTTATATAAATAAAAATCTACTTGGTTAAATAACTAAGTGGGATAAATTTTTATTTATTTAATAATTTATTCTTCTTCTTCATCTTTGATGATAATCGGTAATGGTAAATTTGATAGATTAGTTATTTTAACAGGCTAAATATAATTTTTTGTTTTCACAGAAACCTTGAATAATTCTTGAAGCTGAGATTCGTTGGATATATTAACAGGATATACATATCTCAAGTTTTTAAAAAGTACACGATATTTTTTAAGGAATTGTTAAGTTTTAGAATATTCAGATTTCTCTAAAATGTAATAATTATTTTGTAAACGAAAATATTCTTTGGTAAATTCTTTTTTCAATGGTTCTAGGTAACTCTCCATCATTGAATTATATAATTAAAACTCTAACTGATATATAACTGATTAGAAATTTTGATATTATAAGTAACCAATATTAAAAAAATATACTCTGATTTTCTATTGCTTTAATAAAATCAATATCTAAATTTAGGCGATAAATTTTATAACATTTCTTACAAATCTCGTAACAATGATATTTTTGATTTTTTGTTTTGCATGTTGATACTTTACAATCATAAAATTTATCTAGAAACTATATACCCACGTATGAAGAATTGTTTTTTCTAAACATCGTTCACATTCTCTTTTGGAACATTGATAATATTCGAAAGTTAGAAATGAAAAATCTAAGAAACTTAATGAATTAAAATAAGCGGGGGATTTCATATCTCTTTTCGTTATATTTTAAAAAAATCTTTTCATCATTGTAATAAAAATAATATTTAGTTTTTTCAACAGGAGTATAATCTTTGACAGAATGTATATTACGTAGTAAAATATATTTGGTTCCATGAATCTTGAAGAATAAAAGATAACAATCGTGCCATTTTTTACAAACTAATTTGATTGATAGGGTGGTTGATAAATCAGATAGGGTTATTTTTGTTTGAAAGATATGGTATAATGTTAAAAATAGAATTTCGTTTGGTAGATTGTTGATATTCATCTTTATTGTTGAATAAATAAATTCTACTTGAAATTACATAATTAAAACTCTAATCGGTATATAACTGATTAGAAATTCTGATATACTTCTATAAATTTAACAAAATCAACATGTAAATTTGGGTGATAAATTTTATAACATTTCTTACAAATCGTGTGTGAATGAAATTTTTGATTTTTTGTTTTGCATGTTGATACTTTACAATCATAAAATTCATCTAGAAACTATAAACCCCACATATAAAGAATTGTTTTTTCTAAACATCGTTCACATTCTTTTTAGAATATAGATAATATTCGAAAGTTAGAAATGAAAAATCAAAGAAACGTAACGAATTAAAATGAGCAGAGAGGATTTCATATCTCTTTTCATTATATTTTAAAAAAATCTTTTCATCATTGTAATAAAAATAATATTTAGTTTTTTCAACAGGAGTATAATCTTCAACAGAACGTAAATCAGATAGGGTTATTTTTGTTTGAAAGATATGGTATAATATTAAAAATAAAATTTCGTTTAGTAGATTGTTGATATTCATCTTTATTGTTGAATAAAATAAATTCTACTTGGTTTAAAACTGAGTAGATACAAAATATAATATTAAATAAAAAATAATTAATCTAAATAATATATATATGTTTGAGAACAATCTGATGAAAAATGATCATATGAATCACATCTATCACAATATTTTCGTGAAATAGGTTCATTGAAGTAGAATTCTTTAGTTTGTCATTCATTAATAAAAAGAGTAATATGATTATCTTGGATATGACCTTTATATTGATGTGAAATTTTGTTCATGTCGTTTGTATAATATTTACATTTTTTAAATTGGCAAAATTCTCCTTGTTTGTTTTTCTGAGTTAGATATGTTGCACCACAAATATATACACAATCACAAAATGAATACTTTTGCTTACAAGCTACACAACATGAATGCGAATATCTATATTTTTCACAATTCCAGCACTTTCCTTGGTTAAGAGGAAAATCGTAAAGATTAAAAGTTTTGACCGAACCAATTTCGGTTAATTTTGAATAATAATCTGAGTTTTCAATTAAATGAGTTTCTTTGTAAATATTTGTTTTATTAGAAATAACAGAGAAAGATTTTAAAAAAAGTTGGAAAAGCTCGATGATAATAAGACTGTTTTGAGACATTTTGATAATAGATGATAAAATTACATAAAAAGAATTCTACCCAGTCTTAGACTGAGTAAAAAGAGATTGAGGAACATATTCTGGAGATTGAAGTACATAAGATTGAAGTTTATCAATCCTTTTATCGATTATGTTTTCAATATTTGATATAATTTTTTTATCTTTAACTTTCTTCTTTCTTTTAACAAACTGTTTAAACTCTTTCAAAAGTTTTGTTTCATTTTTATACTCATGAGAACATGTATTGTTAAAACTTTTTATCCATAACCAAATTTTGTAATCAGGTTTATACCTAGATAAGCATCTTTTTATTTTTATCAATGATCCTTTAGAATTAATACATACAAATTTTTCCTCTAAAGGTAAACTCTTATCGACGCTCTGAAGAATTCGAAAATAATCACAATGCATCTTGAATAGACAATAGTTGTTGCTGTGACGAGTATCGTATTGCCAAAGGTGTTCGTAGAACTTGAATTGTTTTTTGCATTTGCATATAAAATAATCCTTGAATTTAACCTCATCCACATGTTTGAGAAGATCAAATCTCACTTTTGATTCAAGTCTCTTGTAGAATCGAATATAGGATTTGTCAAAATCGATATTGCACCAAGATATACCATTAGTAGTGACAAAAGATTCAAGCATACATTTGTACCGTATTAAAGAAAAATGTTGAAAATGGGAAACAATGTCTCTTTCCATTTTAAGTAATTATTTATTAATTACTTTGAATATCTGAAGCTGAGATTAGTGATATTCAGGTGAATCATTATGATTCTGAAGTTTGAAATAGTTGAATTTTGCAGCTTTTTATAGACGTGAGAAAGGTGCAGAAAAAAAAACTAAGTTTTGTTTTTCCTTTCGTAAAAGATAAGATTAATTAATAATTACCAAATCAGTAAAATTCTGATTTAGAACTAGCTGGTTTAATTTGACTAAACCAGAATTACTGATTTGGTTAAATAATAATCTTTCCAAATCAATAAATTCTGATTTGGAATTTGTACAAATTACAAATCAGTAAATTCTGATTTGGAAATCAAATTACAAATAATTTCAAATCTGTAAATTCTAATTTGGAAGTTCGAAAAAACTTTTATTTAAAATTATGTATAAGTTCGTTAAAATAATTATTATATTAATTTTATTCAAAGAAACTTTCTTAAACAAAATAAGAAATACTCATGAAATTTGAAATTATTTTCATAATAATTCTCTTAAAACAAGAATTATTTGTAATATTTGTGAAGCTTCCTACCCAATCGAAAGTAATCTTTCTAATCTTAAAAAACATTTTGCTTCTTATCATAAAGAAGAATATCGTCAA